CTTTGAAACCACAACTTCCTGAGGTAGACTTGTTTGCTTTCTTCAATGCTTTCATTTGGGCCTGTACACAACGCCATAATGCTAATTACTACATTGCATCATTTATCTGTTTACACATCTGCTTCCCCCATTGGACTGTAAAGTCTTTGAAACCAAAGACCCTACTTTTTAATCTTCATATCCTGGTACAGTGTGTGACACAAAGTAGGTGTTTAAGAAATATTTTCTGAATAAAAACATGTAATGTGGGATTTCAGGCTCACAAAGAGTTTCCCCTAAAAGTTATGGCATTTTGTACACTCCATCACACTGCCATGGAATATTTAAAGTACAAGAAAAACAAATAGCAAAGTATCTCCCAGGTTTAACAAGTTGATATTAAAAGACAATCTAATAGAGACTTTGATAAATTCCTTTCAGTAAAACTGTGTCAAGGTAACCACGACCGTCATAGTTAAAATGCATTAACTGTAAAGACCTGGAAATTTTTTGTTCTTGGCTGGAGAACGGTGTTGGACTAGAGATGGAAGCAAAACGCTTTCTGTTGTCTAGATCTGATGGAATTTTCTTAACCTCTCAAAAGGTGCCACAGATATAGCTAAAATATTTAAAAATTGATAGGAAAGTTCATGTTCTAAGAAATGATGTTTAACAAAATTTCTGTTGATTTATCAACAGAAAACAAATGCAAAGCTAGAGATTAATTTACCAGAGTTAAAATTTAGGACTACCATTAGAAGGTTTCTATACAAAGACTCCCTCATCTAATCTTTCATACAAGTTTGAAGAGTCAGGAAACATCCAGAGATAATCCTCAAGAAAACCATAAAGTGCATCTGCAAAAATGCCAGAACCCCCATAGATAGGAAATGGTTTGGCTTAAAGACTGGGGAATTATGGGGTGAGTCATTCTAACTGTGGTTTCCAGTAACCAGAGTATTTAAGGGAATAAAGTCAGGAAGTGAAATGAATAAAATCAAGATTAAAAAAGATCAGCAATGGTAATAATAATGCTTACTTTTGTGTTAACACTTTAGTTTATGAGACATTTTCATTTTTCAAATGAGGAAAATTAAACTGAGAACGTTAGGGGGCGTGCTGAAGGTCACAGAGCTAAAATAAGCACAGTAAAGGAGTTTAACTGGATTTTTCAACATCAGGTCTACAGATCCTTCCACTACTCTGCTTCTTTGCCACCCGAAGAATGGGCTACTATGTGCTGTGGATGGGCCCGAAACACTTCCTAAGATGCCTTCGATGAGAGCAGATGTTTCCAAATCACTTAAGCATATCTTTCAACTTAAATAAAATAGCCTAGGAATAGCCTTAGGAAATACCCTTAAAGAATGAAGAAGCTCCTTACTGTGCCGGAAGAGAGAATCTTCCTGTTCTCCATGTTATACTATTGATTGAAAAATGCAAGATGTCATGCATTGTGGGTATTATGCAAATGTTTGCACGAAAGCACTGCAAAGAAATATATTTAAATGTAGTTGTTTGTCTATGCAAATAAAAGCCACATAAGAAATTGCTGACAGTGGTTACTTTCTGGAAGGGAAAATGGTGGCTAAAGGATCAGAGACAGGAAAACAACTTTTCACTGTACACATTCCCTTTTGAACCTTTTGAATTTTGAACCATATGTAAGTGCTACTTTTTTCAAAAAGTAAGTTTAAATTTAAGAATACATAATGGGAATTGGAACAGAGGCAATGGTGATTCAAGGTGAATCATTTCAGAGATAGGACACAGCAGAAGGAAAAAGAAAAAAATTATTACAAAATTTCTGTCCGATTCCAGAATTCCATGTGGTGATTCATAGTCTGAAGTAAATATTCCTCGAGACCATCAAATGTCTTCCATTTTAATTCTCTTCTCATTCTTTAGGTCTCAATTCCTTACGAACCTTGATACTGAGAAAGGAGTGTCCCAATAGTGGACACGAGTATTCATTCAGGTCATTAGAATGGTAGATTCTTTCGTGGTAAATAAGATAGCGTCTAATTTAAACCAGTCTCTGAAGAGGTTGATAAGGAGTTATTTCAAGCACAATGATAAAATACGAAACTGCAGAGCTAAAGACTAAACTAAACCTCGGACTAGTAAGGCCCCACAGAGAGGGTCTACCCTAAAATGGGACCTGGCCTCAATTAAGTAGTTACATGGACATATCTGGAATTTTCAGTATGTCTGTTCTATCACTACTTAAATCAGTCCAAAAATTTACCCTAAAGGTCACAATAGCTTGAGGATTTGGGGTGGTAATGAAACCAGATCTTTAGGCCTAGAGCAAGTCATAGTTTTGTTGTTGTTGTTTAAGACAGCACCAGATCACTTTACTTTCCTACACAGGAATCACTTCCATGCCTTAGAGGCTCCAGAAACTGGCGATTCTTGTGCTCAAGAGAGTTTTTAAAAACTCCAAGACCAACAAAACTTGTACCACATAAAGAGAACACATTCTTGTTCTCTATTCTGGTGTTCAAATGACATATTTAAAGATAACAACATTCTTAAATAAGTATGAGGTTTTAAAAAGAAGAGCTATTGCCAAAGAGTTATTTTGGAAAATTACAAAAATCCCTACTCATGGGTCTGCAGTCCAGGACTATGTCATCTGATTTATTATTAATGGATTAGCAATCATTCACCAGGTCCTGTACAATTAGCTCTCAATTTTCTAAGAATGGACATGAGACACAGAGATAAATTCAAATTCAAGTCTCATTTTAAGTGTTTAAATTCCTCCTCCCAATAAATACATTTTTCACCACAGCTAACAGGCAACTTAATCTACTGATACAAGTGTCTCCTCTTTCCATGATCTGACAGTTGTCTACATGATCATTATGACAACCAAAAATCAAGAAAAAGGAGGAGGAAAATGAGTGAGAAGGGTTGAAAGAGAAGGGGCTAGATAATTCACAAACTGGATAAACTGAGGCCTCAACAAATGTCTTATTTAAGTGAATTGAAAGATGACTGACACATTGTCATCTCATTTTTAATACTAGGACTAAGTGACTGAAGCCACCAAGCCAAAATGTAAAACTAATTTGTGAAAAGAAATTGTTTCAGAAACCAAGATTCTACCATCGACAGCAGTTAATAAGGTTTACAAGCCAGCAGTTACTAGTTCTCATTAAGAATTAACTCATGTTTCATTACCTGATCTCCAGTAATGCTATCGATACGAGAAATGGAAAATTTGGAGGAAGGAGTAATGAATCAACCTCTCTCTTCCATATGCTATATTTTATTGGAATATGAGTAAGCGTAAGAATGGTATGAGAAATGGGGATGGGGGTGGTACTAATCATCGAAATGGCATATGACTCTCCAAATGTAGCAATGCTCACTCCAGTGAGTTGCTTCACTGTGACTCAAGATCTGTCAACTGAGGACATAAGGGAATTAGAGCAAAGCCAAGAGATACACTGCTAAATTTTAAACCAAATCTTCCAATAGATTTAAGACAAAATCTAACAAAATCTAACAAGAGTCAACTAAAAGAAATTAACCTACTCAACATAAATTGATTCTAAAGTACTTTGGAAAATGCATTCTTGCTAATGCAAAAATTCAGGAGAGAAGTCTGGGGACCTGCTTTCCTAATGACACATGCCATTTATCTACTGGTAGAGGGCACTACAATATACTAGGCATCTAAATCAATGTATCACACCCCACCCCCACCCCGGTCCTCCTCACATAACCTTATTTTTCAAAAGTAAAAGATAATTAGTGAAAGCATTAATTATGCATGTACTTCCTCTCTCAATACTGATAAATACAAATACATATGCATCTTTGTTATATACTATATGCCCAATATGCTATATGGCAAACAACTCTGGCAAATCCACTGCATTATGAACAGAAGTAAATTAACAATAGCTTCCAAAATATAACTATATCTTTATCTCCAACCAAAAGAAAAAATTTTCTCAACTCCTCCAATTATATTCCAAAAAATTCAGAAAGAAAATAAGGAAATAGAATGTTTATAGACACTTGTACCTATAAATTTCGAGTGCAAACATTTCACTAATAACCACGCTTTCCTATCATACTGATTTTTAATTTGATCAAATCATGAATCTTTGAGGGCACAGAAAACAAAAACTAAAACTCTGCCAATTAATAATGACTATATTTCACCTTTAGAACGGTAATCACCATGCAAGCAACAAATTGGATGCATCCCTTGCTTCCCTCTCTCCAGTGATTAAACGGATTCTTCACTACAGCCACATCTGCTAGTTTCTGCCAGCACACACACACACACACACACACACACACACACACACACACGGCCTCAAACGCACTCCACAAGCCAGGGCTAAGACTGTCTAGAAATCCGCACTGTCTCACTGCATAAGGAAGCTTCCTGCTGCACATATTCAGGAAAAAGAAAGCCACCTAAACACCCTGTCAGATCACAGCAAAGCTGTAAAATGTCAGAAGGAGCTGCTAACCAAATGGCAGGCAGCAACAATTGCCACCTTTAAAAATCATTTAAGCACTTTTCCTCCCCATCACCATCTCACTTCCCTCCTCATCCCTCCTCTCTCTCCCTCCCCGTCACCCCGCCACACACACACACACACACACACACTCACTCACTCACTCTGCAGTTCATCCCCAGCTTTTCAAATGAAAGGCTGTGAGCTCTGGGCTGCCTCTTGAATAACAGCCTCAAACTCATTCAGACCCCTTAAATACAAACACACTCACCTGCATACACCGCCCCTTCTA